CCCCTCTCTTATATATCTCTGGGCCACAGAATAATAAACAATCAGAATGCCCACTCTCCATGGAAAATTAAGTACACTTCATCTAATTTATATAACGATGCACGTCATCGGCGTCATAGCCTGTGACGTCACATGATACCAACACAAAATATTTAGGGTGTAGGTGTGTTCTTTTTTAGAATCACTTTACCGAGTACACTGGTATTACAGCTACTAGACATATTTTATTATATACGCGTAGAAATAATATTTAAAAATTTCTATTAATGTTAACTTAAAGAAATACACAATAATATGTTTCACTTAATTTGTATAAATGCATTATAAATCGTTTTTATCAAGAGCATTTGTTCGGAACACACTGTAACTGTAATCGAACGAAGGTAAAATTTTGGCATAAATTGGTAACACTTATTTGACAGCTGCGGTGTTGACACTTTTTGTACTTCATTATTTTAAATTTTAAATTGAATATCTCTTGTTTTATATTTTTAACTATTTAATAAAATCTGTTCTTTTTAGAACAAAATTAGTGTGTTTTATTTCAAAAATGTCACGTAAAGTCGACTTTACACTACATGATTTTATCATATGACAAAATCATATGAGATTTGTTATGATTCCTCGTTACTATGATATTTTAAAAAATCGTGTTTACACTGAATGATAAGTTATGACTTATGATATGAGTAACAATGAGGTTTTATTGATTTTTCATTTTGTTTCTGGTCATAGAGATATTAGACATATAGTATAGGTAACAACTATTAGATTTTTAAACTATTATAAATGTGACTGTAATGGAAAATAAATCTTTGCTGGCATTGGCTTCTGAAATTTTAATAATAATACGCCTGCAACAACTGCGTCCATCTAATAGTAAGAAGAAAAGATAAGACGCCTTTGGCCTCGCAGGTGACTTACGAAGAAATAGTGGACGGGGTATATCAAATTTAGTGTTGATATTATACCAAATTAAAATTAATAAAGAAACTAAACTAAAATTATGACTAAGATGACTATAAAACACTAAACTAATCATAAAATAAACTAAATAAATAATAAAAAAAAAATACGACCCAGTAGCACAGATTAGACAATAGGCTCAATAACAATGCAAAAACAAAAAATAAATAAATAAAGAATGTTGTCTCTCGGTAGTTGACATAAGAATAAGGCGCGATATTTAAATATGCTGGTGTTACCGATATTTTTACCAAAAATCATATGATTTTATCATGCGGAATAGGTACCGTCCTATTCTCCTGTGACAAGCTATGATAAGCCGCATGACAGTGCTTATGACAAAATCATATGACAAATCACACAGTGTGAACATACAAATTTGACTTTATGACCAAATCATATGACAAATCACATGATAAATCATATAGTGTAAAGTCGACATAAGAATTCAAATAGTCGTTGTAAAGAGATGGTAATACTTTTGCAATAATTATGTAATCTATTTGATTTAAAATGGAGTCAGGATTTTTTTATATCTTGGCAACTATGTCAACTTCGATCTCTGACGTAGATAATGACGTAAGTCGTTATCTAAATTAGATGAAGAATACGCGCATCTCCTTCGCGCAGACGTTCCGCCATGTTTTAGAGGGAACCAGTGTTGTTTATGTGGTGTACATAGAAAAATTAACCCGGTTTAATTGACTTACGGCAATTATAGACATACTATACAATTGTATTAACATTGTTAAATATAATAACATAAATATAATATAATTAAACATAAATATAAGCAATTACATAACCTCACAAATCATATGTCTGTGTTATGTGTTTCCTTCTAAAACATGGCGCGCGTGCTGAAAAACTTCAAAGGCGGCATCTGAGAGTGGACATTCTGATTGTTTGGTGTAATTTTATCATCGAGTTAGAATCTATCTATGCCAATAAACAAGAGGGCCAACCCAAATTTAACCCACTTTTAACTAAAATCGAAATGAATGAGAATCGCTAGCGATTGCGACTGTCATGGCGTATTCTAGTCGCTTTTAACATCGAAATGAAATTCGATGTGATGTGACATAATGATAGCTGTTTTCAGCTATCATATCTGAGCCACAGAATAATAAACAATGTTTATTTGTTAAACAATTTGTTTATTATTCTGTGTCTGAGCTATCATCACAATGTCACGTCACATGCCATGTGTTTGTCATATGTCATTGTCATCAACTTCCTTCAAACCTGAACGAACGTCAACTACTGTAGGTGAGGTTACGTGGCCGACAGTTTTCTAATTTTAATTTTAAGTAAACATGTATCTTTTCGGCTTCCTTATTTCACTGGTTTGTTTGGGCATAAATCAGAGTTTGGCCTATTTTATCACAGTAGATGCACATGCAGAAGAATGTTTCTTTGACAAAGTGGAAGCTGGCACAAAAATGGGTATATATTTATGATTTTTAAACATATTCTTATTTTTATAATTAAGTTAAAGTTTTACATATTACTTTAGTTTATAATGTTCTTACGAACAGAAATAGCTTGTGCCATAAATAATCAAAATATGGTTTGTCCCAAAGGAACCCATAATATTCCATATATAATAAAATGTAAATACATTTTAGAATAATTTTTGAATGATTGAATATTTGTTGTGTTTTTTGGGGCCCTTAAACCACTTTCATTGCTGTCATGTGTGGCATGACAGGTATTGTATTGCCTTTGTTACTTTTCATTCATATGTTGTGGCAGCTGGATACTTTATGTCATAGTAATATGGTAAAGAAATATAAGCCAGAAATAATATATGTAAAGAGGAACAACTATCCAGGGCATAATAATAAAAAAATTGGTCTAGACCAAATTTTCTCAGTTAAAAAGAAAACAGTGAACTCTGAGAATTGTATAGGTCCATTCCTTGTAAATATAGAGTTCAAATACTAACAAAAATCATCTGCAAGAGATATATATTTAAGATTGATTGGATTTTTTTTAATTTTATGGTACTTACTTATTAGAAACTTAGGACTTATTAAAGGGATGATTTCTAGCTTAAAACAATTTATTTTCCTTAATTGTCCAATTTTTTTTGTAAGTCTAAGCATTTTCACTCCTATCAGCCTAACTGGACATATTAAAAATTATTGTTTATTTTAGGTCTCACTTTTGAAATAGCTGAGGGGGGATTCCTCGATATAGATGTGCGTATTATAGATCCTAATGGCCAGAATTTATACCAGGGTGAAAGGGAAACTGCCGGAAAGTACACCTTTGCAGCACACACATCTGGTATATATACTTATTGTTTCTCAAACAAGATGTCAACTATGACACCTAAAGTTGTTATGTTTAATATGGCTGTTGGTGAATCTCCAAAAGCTGAGCAACAAGAAGGTGAAAATGCTAATAAGTTGGAGGAAATGATAAGAGAACTTACAAGTAAGTGAATGTATACACAGTTGACTTATAATCTTAGTAGAATTCCATTAATTTATATTTCAAATATTCATATATTTTAAAATGAAAATGAGACAAATACTTTTATTGCAGACAATTATACTGTTCTCAGTATTTTAATTTTTCTAAAACAGAAGTTGGAAAATACCTACAGTCCTCTCCCCACACACAACCAGTAAACTGTGCAAAGTTTTAGTAAAATCGATTGATTTGTTGCCTACATGAATCGATTTTTTGAAATTAAAAAACCTATGTAACCTCTTAAGCTCAAAATGGTATCATGTAACTGGGAGCCCCCTACTTGAAAACTGATTTCAATTCCCTTTTTAACATCTACATAATTATGAAATTAGGTCACAAATGTTAAAATTTCAGTTCAAGTATTATTATTAGTTAAATATTTTGTGTAATATATTTTTTAAACTATACAAATTAAGTTAATGAGTTTTAATATTATGTAGTAAAATAAAGTAAAAATAATTTAATTGTGCATATCTCACAAAAATCCTTGCAGTGAGATTTTAAATGAAGGATTACATATGATAATATTGGAAAGCCTGTTTGAAAATTATATCTGAATAGATATTAAATATCAGTGGGCATAGAATGCATCCCAAGGCGTCAGATAGCCTCTTTCAATGTAACATTTGGTGGTTAATCTCCTATCCACCTGTTTGACTGCTTCCAATATAAGTTTTCTGTGATACATAAATATCTACCATCAATGTCTTTGGTTCTTAATATGCTCATAAGTATTCCAGGCTTATCCCATCTGAAGCCTTTTCATAATCGAAGAAAGCCACATAAATATCATTGCATTGATAGTGGCATTTTTGGAGTAGTTTTAACCTTGTTTGTAAGTCTGTTTGTCTGTGTGAATTTGGATATTTAAGCCAAAAGTGTCTCACAGGTACTCAGCCCATTCCTAAATTCAAATTGGGTTTCATCTAGGTCCCTTTCACAATGAATATTGCGAATTAAAAAATGCATTGCTCATCAGACTAATTAATCTGTATTCTTCGGGATTGCTATAAAAACAGACTTCATCCATTCCTTAGGTATTTCACCAGTAGTATAATATGCATCATCAAACAACTTAACTAGAGCACAGATGTGGTCCTCTTATATCACTTTAAGGGTTCAGCTGGGACATTATCTGGTCCAGTTGCTTTCTTGGTTTTGACTGATTTATTGCATAAAGAAATTCAGATTTTAAAATGTCAGGTCCTTCTTGATTTACATTGCTTCTATGTTTGGCCTGTCATCTTGGAACAATTCAGTTGTAGTTACTTTATATTTAAAATATTTCACATTCATCAATGATAACTTTTCCTGCTTTATATACTAGAGTATTAGTGTTTTCCTTATTATACAGGCCAGCAACTTCAAGAACTTTCTTGTGTTGCAAATTGAACATATCATATTTCTTTTATTATTTTTTTATTACACATAAAAACAAAATAACAAAGAATACAGCTGAATGATTCCCAGTACAATATAAATAAAAGGAACAAAATAACAATATTGTAGAATACAATCTAGGGATCCCTCTTAAACATAAATGAAAAGAATTGCCAACTTGAAAGATTTTTATATAGTTATTATTAATTTAAAAAACAATGTTAAACTTTGATAAACTAAACTCCTATTTTAGAATTTAAAAAGTTTTAAAAAGTAATGACTTTTTTTCCGACATTGCTCATTGAATTTGTAAAAAAAAAAGAAATTTGTATATACTTAATTGCCTGTTACTTGATTAAAATTAATCTTAACATGTATGAGTACAAAAAACAACACTTTATAACTTCCACTAACTTTAGCTTTATTTTTTTAATATTTAAGTAGATAATTGCATCGACCAAATGGCATATGCTATGGCCAAAATTAGTCTTCTTCTTAAAGTTCCATCTCTTATCGGAGGTTGGATATCATAACGGCTATGGTCACTTTGTTGGCTGCTGCTCTGAAAAGTTGTAGTGACCTACAGTTAAACCATTCTCTAAGGTTCCTCCAGGAGATGCATCTTCTTCCTATGCTTCTTCTTCCTTGGATTTACTTGTGACCCAAATACTCTAGTTTACCAAAATTAGTAGATTACATAATTTTGTGGTACTTTTTTTTTTTTTTTTTTTTTTTTTTTTTTTTTTTTTTTTTTTTTTTTTTTTTTTTTTAATGAGAATCTTCTAAAGAGATCTGGGAAGAGGACCCAGATACTGTTGGATTCTGGTATGAACTATAACGTTGGAATGTTGATAAGGTTAGTTCAGGCGCCTACCAACTAAACTCACCCTCTCTTCCAGCAGCGCACCCGGAACTTTTCTTGGCGAATGCAACTTCGGGAGCACCACCGCGGTCTCCAATTTTCACAAAAACCTAGTATAGTTCTCGGTAGAGAGTCTCAAAGGTAGCTGAGTGACATAATGACAGTATAAAAAACAATATAAGTAAATAAATAGGACAGTTACACTATAAAATTAGTACAGAACGCTGAAGTATGTGTCTAATGAGCAAAAATCGCGAATTACAATTATTTTATTAGTCTTTCAGCCTATTCCTTCATCCTGTCTCGCTCTTTCTAGCGTCTCCTTTTTTTTATGATTTCCGTTATTATTTCTAACACATAGTCATAGTTCTTTCTGTTCTGCATAGCTAAGTCCAGTATATTATTGGGCGTGACCTCTCCTAGCTTAATTCTCAGTCTTTGACGTTCTTGTAGAAAGACATTACATTCGAAAATGCAATGTTCCGCGTCATCAGTCACACCACAATCCATACAGATATCGTCATTTGTTTTTTTTTTAATTCTGTATGTATACAACCTAAAAGAGCCGTGTCCGGTCCATCTTGTAGTGGTCTTCCCACTTACCTATTTGCTCTTGGAATGCTTCGATAACCTCCTCTGTCGTGGCATCCTCTGCCATGCCTCTTATATGTATGGTTTCCGTTATGTGTTCTTCTCCTATTTGGAATGCTCTGAGACCTTCCTCTGTTGTTCCAAGGGCAGTTTTTATTTTTTGTAGTGCTGCTTGGTCTTTCTCCATGGTGATGAGAAGTTTTCCCTCTTTTGTGCTTCTGAGCGAGTGTACGGCCTTTGCTGCGCCAGTTGACTTTACAGCTGTTTTCACAGTCTGTAGTATGTCCTTATAAGCGGCATCTTTTTTGGTAACAATCATACCGTATGCTGCTCCTTCCGTTTGTTCGTAGTATGGATGTTTACAGCCACCTCTGTTTTTTGGAAAATTATTTCACACATTTTCCGGAGTTCATCTACCGACATGGCGTTAACATGGTGGAGAGCGACCTTACCTTGTTGACCCACTTCTTCCTTCACCATGTTGATTTTTTCCCAGATTTGTTTTCTGTCCCCATTTTGTTTAATTTTTATTATTTTTTTGGTCTCCTTTGCCCCTTTTGATTTAATTGTAGTGCTTTGCTCGAGTACTTCATAATCTGCTTCAAGTTCTGCCAACTCTGGGTATTTATCCCTATATAGCCTCTGAATACTGTTGCTCATTTGAGGGTCGTTTGGTTCTACCATGACGACCTTAACGATGTCGTTTCCGGTGGTAATAGGATTACCGATAACTACATTGGTCCTCTTGTATACCTTGTCATCCCATGTCAGGTTAGCCGTTTCTTCCCAGGTTTCAAAACTGTTGATATTATCTAATTTACTGATTCTTTTCTGGGAGCCTCCATGCCACGGGTCAGTTTGGGTGTCAGTGTCAATCGTCAGATTTTCTGCTGGCTCGTATTTGTGTTTGTTGAGCCAGTTCACAACTAGGTCTTTTTTAAAAGTAAGTGAGGTCTTCTTTAGACGGGAAGTTATGTCCTTTATACTCTTATGGGTGTTTGGGATGTCTTTTATTGTTTTAGATAGTTCGTTCACTAGTCTTTCGGTTCATCTAGATCCCACGAGTAGCTAGGGAAATTCGGTCAGCTGTCGCATAGCCCCGCTTACGGCAGTAAGGCTACTTACAATGAGGTGTCGCCCGGTACCCCAAGGGAACCGTTTGGGACCACGTGTCGTGTGGTCATTCAGTCCTCAGCACGGTTTCTTACGCCTTGACTTAACGGATTTTTTCTCGCTGGTTTACTCCATCGGTTTTTTGTTTTGCATCAGGTTGTCTCCTGAGGATCGGTAAGAAAACGGGATGGAGGATAGGTAACAGCAAGGATGATGATGAACGAGCTGGGATTTGCTAATCCATCACGGGGAGTTGGTGTACGGCAGTGGCACTCAGCGCCCATCTCTGAGTGCCAATCTCGCCCACCTCCCTCGGTAAGCAGTCCCCACCCTGACCCATCGCGCTCGCCTCACAAGAATTAGCGGCCGCGACCGGACTAGAGACGGACCGCTTCTCCGTTTAGTCGCCTTTTACGACAAGCAGGAGAAAACTGTGGGGATATTCTTTACTGGCCGTGCCCCACACAGCCTACACTAAGTCTACACCTAGAGCTTCTAGAAGTGTGGCTGGTATCTTGTTGTTACTTTGTTAATTATTCTAGAGGGACATTCACATAGTATGTGTTTATTGTTGGTGTAGTACTAGAAGTTTCACACCACAGCGATTCACACCTTTTAATTAATTAATCATGTGCTAACCTCGTATGACCAAGTCTGAGATGAGTTATTATTATTTCTTGGCTCCTAGAGGTAGATAACTCATTCCATGTCAATATGCTGTGTTTCACTTGTTTTAACTTTGAATTTGACACTCTCCATTTATTTTTCCATGCACCTGATATAAGTGAACTATCATATAAACTGAATGACATCAAATAGAAGACCTTCTCTGGAGTTACTACAGATGTTTCCACACCTCCAGTTGTTTTTGAACCATCAATGTATATCTGGGTATGATTTTTATAGAAAGGTGTAGCAGAACAGGTATTTGCTTTGAGGTTTGGTAATTTATCAGTAAAAGTATTTCTATTAACAGGATTTTTTTATTATCCTTAATTTTTATTGCATAAGTTAGACTAAGGTAAGCTCTTTTATCGTTTAACGAGAATTCATTAGCTTCGCAAAGAAAACTTTCAATCAGTGTTGTACAAAAGGCTCCCAAACATATTGTGAGTGCTGTGTTGTGAATAGTGTAGAGTTTTTTAAGTACTGAGTGAAAGGCTACTGTCACATAGTCTAGCTGTGATCTTATAATAGTTCTATATATCAATAACAATGTATTCCTGTCTAAACCCCAAAATGTTTAGTAAATTTAAGCTTCTATAACATTTACAAGTTAGATTATTGATGTTATTTGCAATTCAACTTTCTGTCAAAAGTGACTCCCAGCAATTTCAGTGAATCTTGTTGTTATAGTGTTTGCTTGTATATATGTAATGAAATTGGTGTACTGACTTTGCTTTTAGAGAATACTATGTATTTAGTTTTAGTTGTTAAATAGATTGAATCCAGTTTCCTGTGACTTGATTTTTCAATATCTAACAAGAAATTCTGTGCAAGTTGTGAGAGATTGGTTAAGTTTTTGCTTTGGTCAAATATTACGAGATCGTCAGCATATAATTGGTCCTTTAAGTAAGAGTTTTAGATTTCATAGAACATCATCTTTGGCAATTATAAATAGGGTAGGACTTATAACAGATCCCTAAATAATCCCATTTTCTAATTCCATTTTTAACAAGTTACCATTTACACAAACTTGCATATACCTTTTACGTAAGAAGTTTTTTATAAATGCAAGCCAGTGTTCTTTAATTACTAAATCATACAGTAATGTTAATGATACAGTGGCGCTAGGCGGTGTCAAAGGTTCTTCAATATCTAAGAATATTGCAATACATTTTTTATTAAGGGAGAGGGCTTCATGTACACTGCTTTCTAGGTCTAAATCTAGGTATAATATTGTCTAGAGTAGAGTATATTTTGCTAGAAACCACTTGGTTCTGGAATAATAGGTTAATGGAGGTTCTGGAGGTTAATATTTAGTGAGAGATGTTAAGGTGTCTGATAAATACAACATTGAACACATTGTCGGAATATGCTTTAAAAAAGGTTCAAACTTCTTCTTTTTAAAGATAATCTTAATATTTATGATATTTTTTATTATTGTATATGCGCACATATATATATATATATATATATATATATATATATATATATATATATATATATATTTATATATTTATATATTATATATATATACATATATATGTAATATATATATATATATATATATATATATAAATATATATATATATATATATATATATACATATTTATATATATATATATATATATATATATATATATATATTTATATATTTATATATATATACATATATATGTATATATATATATATATATATATATATATAAATATATATATATATATATATATTTATATATATATATATACAATTAATTTTAACGCCAATATTTACTTTCTAGATTCATTGTCTGGTGTAAAACAAGAACAGGAATATATGCAGGTTAGAGACAGAATTCATAGGAGCATCAATGAAAGCACAAATTCTAGGGTAGTTATGTGGTCCTTCTTTGAAGCAGTAATTTTAGTAGCTATGACTGTAGGGCAGGTATACTATCTCAAGAGGTTCTTCGAAGTAAGAAGAGTCGTGTAAACCTTAAGTCTGATCTTCTAGAAATTTTGTAAAATTGAAGATAAATTATATAATTTGAATTTTGGGACATTATAAATTAAAAAAAAGATCTCTAGTTTTAAATAAGAAATTTGATGGTACAGAATTGACTTTGTGTTTATGTGTTATTTAAATATATTTATTAATTGAAAGTTGCAGAATTATCTGATTCTTGGCACAATTAAAACAAATTGAAATTAACTGAAAATAAAAAATATATAGTAAATTATAATTATTATGAGTTTATAAAGATTGATAACTTATTGTCTGCGTGAAGATTAAAACTAGCAAGTAATATATTAATATTAATTTGTTTTATTGAATTTACTGCACAATTACAATCATTTTTTCAGAACTGATTAATCTCAAATGAATTTAAAACTTAATGAATGTAGTTTGAATAGAAAAAAACTAGAGGTCTTCATATTTAAAATAATAAACTTACGAAAAAGTACAAATATAAGTATTTGTTTTTAATAGTATTTTAACTTGTATATACTTGAAATCGATATCTTTTGGGGCGAACATTTCTTACTGTACCATTAAAATTTTTTGTTATTTCTTTTGTTGTAAAATATTTGTATTAATAAGTAAATTTTTATATAAATGCTTATAAATAATTTTTTTTCTTTTTTACCTTTTTTGCGTTTGAATTCTAGTGTTTTGCGTTTGAATCCTAATTACAAGTTCGGAAAGAGGGCAGCACATAACGATGGTTGCTTGCATTAGCTCAGTGGGGAATTATGTTCCACCAACACTTATATTCCCCAGGAAAAATTGGAAAAAAGAATTAATAGATGAAGCGCCTTTAGGAATAGCACAGGAAACAGGATGGATGACAGGCGAAGTGTTCCTAACATGGATGAAACATTTTAAAGAATGTTGTAATCCTTCTATAGAAGACAAGGTTATGCTGTTGCTTGATGGGCATGCGAGCCATAAAAACACTAATGTTTTAACTTTTGCCAAAGAACATGGAATAGTGATATTGTGTTTTCTGCCGCACTGTACCCATCGTCTACAGCCGTTAGATGTATGTTTCTTTGGTCCATCAAAGAGCTACTACTATGATCAAGAAGTTACCAAGTGGATGAAGTGTCATCCAGGCAGAACAGTTTCGCAATACCAAGTTGGAGGATTATTTGCTACAGCATATGGAAAAGCAGCTACACACCAAAATGCCGTTAGTGGATTTTTAAAGACTGGAATTTGGCCCCTTAATCCCGACATATTCCCTGATTATTTATTTAATCCTTCCAAAATAACAGATATTCAAGAAGAAGTTGCAATTCAACCCCTAACAGAGTCAAAAGAAGAGAATGATAATGTTTTGCGACATCAAGATTTTCCAGATCAAAGAAACAAACCGGTTTCTACACCTAGACCAAACTCACTTGAAAGTTGTTCTTCAATTAATCCTGGTATTCGTCCACTTGAGGAGCTTTTTTACAAAACTGCATAAATCCATTTCCGGCTAAAATACATTTTTTGTTGAATTTCGAGAGTTTGGTCTGCCTTAGATCTTGTGTATAAGTCTCATGTGTCAAAAGGCAATATTTCCCATTTAACATGAGCCTACAAATCACGTTTCTTCCACAAAACTTAATTAATCCACTCAAAAACCTTTACTCCATGTTCAGTCTTTATTTATACAAAACTTAACATCTCCTTCTTTAGCTAACCATTAAAATTAGTTTTTATTTTACAAAACTGCACAAATTCTCCGACCCTCAGAACCATGCCTCTACTATTTTTGTGTGATTTTAAAAGCATCCTCTAGAGTCAGATGTTGTTTCGTGAAACAAAATATAATATTCGTTAGTTCTAAAATTACTCACGGGTCGCACTGACAGTTTGTAGCGTAGCCACACTGTATGAGATTATTAGTACTTTTCCGTTCGATGAGAGTGCATGTTGTGAATTCGTTGTATGTCGACGTTGTTTCTGTGTTTTGCGTGTTATTTTGAGATATTTACCGTTGCTAATTTATCGGTGGGATCTAAAAAAAGACGATCCATCAAAACAAGTGAGAGAGGGCGTTCAAAAATTATGAAGTACAACGATAGTGATCCTCATTTAGTGTTTCTAAAACAGAAGACCAGACCATGTGCCCATAATTCGAAAAATATTCGTTGTGCTACGGTATGCTACGATGATATAAAAATTAATCGAAAAGCAGTCTACATGGCAGAGGGTAAGGAGAAACAAGATCTCGTTTTGATGAAATATATCTCTGCTTTCGAGCCCCAAAGAAGAAGGGGAAGTGGTGCGCCCGTCTTTGTAACTCGCACAAGAACGGTTTCTGTGAAATTTTTTCTTAATAGTCAAAAAGAGAAACGCATGATTCCTGTCTGTAAAAAGTTTTTTGCTTTCTCAATGGGTGTACCTGCCTCTCGACTACTGCGAATTGGAAAGGTCGTCAATCAAGGTCTGCTGCCCAAAGAAAATAGAGGTGGTTATCGACGAGAATCTTTCTTCAGAGCCAAAAAGGAAGCAGTCCGTCAATTTCTTGGTAAACTAAATTGTGTCGAATCTCATTATGGAAGAGGAAAAAGTAAGAGAGTTTACCTTTCAGCAGAGTTAAGTGTAAATAAGTTATATAAAATGTTTAAGGATGCTTACACTGCCGATTTGCACGTGAGCTATTCATGTTTTCACCGTATTTTTGTAACCGATTTTAACATTGGATTTTCCTCTCCAGCTACAGACGCATGCGCTACGTGCACTCGTCTTAAATATCTTATTCAACAAAACGCTCGCGGCTCAGTTGAAAGAATTAATCCAATGACCGAACTTCGTATTCACAAGCTGAGAGCGGATGCGTTTTACAAACTAATGAAGGAAGTTCCCAATGATACTTATAGTTTTGTTTTTGATTTGCAACAAGTGCATCCACTCCCCAAAACTCCAGTCGGCGATACCTTTTATTGCCGACAAATTGCATTCTATGCATTTTGCTGTGTACCTATTGACTCAAAGGCACCAACATTTTATACGTGGAATGAAACGCAGGGAAGAAGAGGAGCAAATGAAATCGGATCTGCACTCGTCCATCACTTAAGACGCCAAGATCTTTCGTCTTTTTCCGCAGTATCGTTGTTTTGTGATGGTTGCGCTGGCCAAAATAAAAATGCTCATATTGTTCATGTTTTGTGCCATTGGCTTAAAAATGAGGCTCCAGAGAATGTACAGAAAATCAAGTAACCTTTCCGACTCGTGGCCACAGTTTTCTTCCAGCTGATCGAGCTTTTGGCCGTGTGGAGAAGCGCTTGAAAAAAACTGATACAATCATCTCGAGCGAAGAGTATGCTTCTATTTACGAGGAGTTTGGCTCTGTACAGAAACTTGGACAAGACTGGGTGGTATACGATATCAAAAGTCTTGAAATGATTTATCAAAAAATAAAAGGAATCAGCCAAACCAAACGCCTCATTGTTAAGAAAATCAAAACAAGGGACAGACATATTTCAACCAAAATAAAATGCTGCGCCAACTACAGGTTCGATAGTGGAACAGAAACTTTTAGAAGCATTGTAAAAAAAATGATTTTCTTCAGGCTCTTCCCCAAATCCCACTATCTCATTCCGTGACTGAAGAGAAAAAAAAGACGTCCTTCATTTATTGCAAACCCACTTTGGACAAAATTGGAAAGAGATCCCTGATCTTCATTGGTACATTAATGCTCTTCAACACAAAGTTACTTGTAATCCAGAAACCCACAACTACCATGATGGCGAGTGTGATTGCTTGGAGGATGAGCCAAAAAATGTTCACATCTAAATTTTTGATACTCCTCATTTTTGTTTTTTTTTTGTTCTAGTATGTACCGTTTAATATTTTTTATTTCAAAGATATTGTTAATTTGACAAAAGTTAATATCTCTCATCTTTTTTTACAAAACGCGATATCTCCAACACAGACATGGCGATATTTTGTTAATGCAAATCAATAAAAATAATCTTAATTAACGTTTGATTTCTATAAATCTAACCTCAATTGATTACGTTCTCTGAAATTTCGAAAATTTTAGTACAACAGCTGCAGCACGTTTTTACGTCTGAAAATTTTTAAAAAGTGGATTTATGCAGTTTTGTAAAAAAGCTCATCACTTGACATTTCACCTCTTCCATCGTGTTCAGGTGTCCAGTCAAAATCAGAAGGAACAAAAGTTCTAACGGCTACTCCAAATATGAAAGAACAAAAAGCCAAAGCAGTCAAGAAGCGAGCTACAGCAAAACGTCAAGCTGCAAAGCGACCAATTAAGAATCTGACTTTAATGACACAAGATCGCGAGGAGGAAACAAAGACCATTGTGTCAGATGATGACGAAGACGAAAATAATCCTCCATGTTTATATTGTAACAGTTTGTACTCCCATTCAAGGTCCAAAGAATTCTGGATTAGGTGCCAAAAATGCTCAAAATGGGCACACTGTGATTGTGCTGGTATCTCAAAATCGTGCAAAAAATTTATTTGTAAACTTTGCTAATTTAGTTTATATGACATTTTATCCATGTGTGTCGTTTTAGCCGAATACACTTGGATAAAATGACATAGCAACGTTTATTTTGTTTCCTTTTTTTTATTAAAAAATATTGTGTTGTTTTAGTTTTATGTTCCATGATCTGTTCTACTTTCAAACAATGAACAACATTTATGTTTTTTTAAATTTTTATTAAAAAAATAAAAAAGTTATTGGACGACAAAAAAGTAGTATGTCATTTTAGGCTAGGTTCCCCTACTGCTCTTAAACTAATTTTTTGGTTACTTTAGCATTAATAGCAATACAACTAAATAAGTAATATGCTTTATCACTGAAAATTGTACAAATTTTATGGACAAAGATTATAACAATAAGACAAGAAAGAAGAAAAAAATCAGAATAAGAATCGTTTGTATCGCTTGTAAATAAATAAAAACAATAAAATTCTTCCAAACTTAAACATAAAAAATACTACCTAATTAAGAACCTACGAACTTCGTAAAATGTATGTAACAAAAAATAAAAATTAGGAAAGCCGATTAATGAATTAAGGGCTCAAATATTCCACCTCCTTGTGCTAAACGGTAACCAAATCTGTTATATAGATTTCTCCTCGTATTTTGGAGTAGGGCTGGTATAATGCTTGCGAGAAATGAAGTACTTTTGGCCCTTAATTCGACTAGGTTTGCGGCACTTTCAAACTGATGCCTATAAATGTTTTCTTCCAGAAAACCCAAAAAAAGAAATCGTTAGGCGCTGTCACAGAATCTAGCGGGCCATTTAATTGTACCACGTGTACTTATCAGTCGATCAGGAAACGTTTGATTGAGGAAGTCAATAGTTGTTCTAGAGTTGTGAGCCGAACACCCATCTTGTAAATATACCTGAAAATTAACGGGAACGTGTCAAACTGCCGGAATGATCTCATTCTGTAAAAGTTGTAAATATTTGGGCCCGTTTAGTTTCCATCGATAAAAAATGGACCGAAAATATGGTCGCCTAACATCTCAGCCCAATCATTTAACTTTTGCTGATGCTGCGTTGGCACTGAGGTGCTTATTTTTCCGAGAATAATAACTTGCAACGGATGGATTGTATTTTTTATGTAATGAAAATGAAGATTCGTCATAAAATAAA